CCTTGGACTGTTCATCCCCTGATATTAGCATGATTGACTGCCTCATTTCAATCAGATCATTATTCAGGTAACACATTTCCAGGGAGGGACTCCTTCACTCCTTCAGCTGACATGGAAATCATCATAACCAGCTGAATCCTTATTGGCCTGATTTTTCTTAATGTCAGTTGTCACTACGTGATGTTATTTGTTTCCTTGGTTGCTTCCTTGTCTGACTCCCCCAACTAGAATGCAATCTCTGGGATGGCAGGGTCTTTGTTTTATTTGGCACTGTGATCCCAACATCTAGACCAGTCAGTACCTGCCACATAGTACAAACTCCAGAGCGTCTGTTAAAATAAGGAAAGGACAGTATATCCATAGCTTGGAAGCACAATGTGATGTGTGTCAGGCTGACACATTTGCTGAACTGCTAATCCTCCAGGAATACCATGTGCTGTCATGACCTGTATATGTCATATGGTGTGAGAGATGTTGGGGATAAATATGAGGCATCTCCCTGACTCTGCTTGTCTTCGGGGAGGATTTGTTTGCACAGATGTTACCTGGCTCCCACCCTGGCAATTGGGTTTGTAAAAGGGGCGGAGTCCTCCTCCAGCTATCTGCTGGACTGCTTTGTTTTCTGACTCACCAGTTCCCTGTCTCAGGCCATCCCTAAGCTCTGTTTGTTGCCAGTTACTGAGGAAAATTGGTTCTTGAGAATCAAAACCTCTACCAGGTCTTGGAAGTCAGAGTTTAGGACCTTAAAAGATCTTAGTTCTTCCTCAAACATTGTGCTTTGAGACTTGTAGTTTGTATTGTGGAAGCCCCAAAAGGGCATGTTCCCTGTGACAGTCTTGGGCCTAAGGGCAACAGTCAATCTAAAGATCCCTCCCAACCAGGAAGCTTCCTCTGCTACTTTCCCTCTGCCTCTCCTCACCGTCCCTCAATACTTTCTTTTGTGCATCAACAGAATAGAAGTGAGTTTGGGTTTCTGGTACCTGAAGGAAATCAGCCCATGAATGCCTGGGCAGAGACGCCATTCCATTATTTTTCAGCTCCACAAATACTTTTCTCTCTTTCTGTGATACTGGGAAATGGAACCTAAGGCCTCATGCATGCTAGGCAAGTGCCCTACCGCTGAGCTACATCCCCTGCTTCAGTTCCACACATTCCAAGGGACCGTGACCACTGATTTTGCTGCATACTCAGATAATAGTGTTATGTTATTGGATTGGGGTATTGCTTTGGCTTAGAAACCATCAGGGTCAAAGAAGAAGAACATTGTAGGCCCCAAGGAGAGCCCCTCCATTTTCTCCTAGGGGAAGACACCACAGGGAACTGCAAGTGGAAGGACTCAAAATTCAAAGCCTGTTTTCTGAGGGCCCTTTCATTTTCTTCTACTATTTTTATGGTTTGATCATTCAAATGAAGTGGTTTAATCTAATTAGGATACATTTAGGTAAACAGTATGAGATGACATTACAGCTCCTCCCCCCAAAATAGTAGCTTATTTCCCCTATAGTATCATGCAATGAACAATCCACCCCCCTCCCTGTTTGTGAGGCTTCTTTTCTCCTGTGTTTAGTGTGTGTGTGTGTGTGTGTGTGTGCATGCACGCATGCACACGCGCACACATCCATTTCTCTGTTCTGATCCATTGATATATACATATGTGTGTGTATATATATATATATATATGCATATTTTTGTACCAGTACTAGTTACTATTTAATTTTAATGTTTGGACACTTATAATGTGTTTTGTTATCTAGTGAAGCTAGCTCCTCCTCATTATTCTGAGTTTTTTAAAAAATGCCGTTATTTTTTCCTCCCATTTTTATTAGTATATTATAATTTTATAAAATAGTGAGATTTTTTGTTACATATTTGTATATGCATACAATATAAAATATAATTGAGTCAATTTCATTCCCCAGTACCTCCTCTTTCCCTCCCCTCCTTTCTCTGGTCCCCTTCCCCTATTCTACTGGTTTTCCTTCTATTTTCATAAGACCACCCCCAACATTTTTTTTCCTCCCTATCTTCCACATATGATAGAAAACATATGACATTTGATCTTCTGAGTCTGGCTTATTTCCCTTAAAATAATTCTCTTGATTCCCATCCATTTCCCTGCAAATGACATAATTTCATTCTTCTTTATTGCCTAGTTATTTTTTACTGTTTATTCTTTTCAATGAATTTTAGAATAACTTTCTCAAGTTCCAAACAAAATCCTACTAGGTTTTTAATTGGAAGCAAAAAAAACCTTTCAATTTAATTTGGAAATTATATATTTACAACATTGAGTTTTCTCACCCAGGAACATGGTATATCTTTCCCTTTATTCACACAATCCTTTATATATCTCAGCAAGTTTTTGTAGCACTTTTATATTTTCTACTTGGTTGCTATTGGTAAACAGAAAAATATATTTGTGTTGATTATCTTGTATTAAGCACTTCTTGAATGAGATTTCTTATAAATTCTAACAATTTCACAATTTTCTCAGTTTATAGTCTTAAGGGTTTTGTTTTTCTTTGTTTTGTAGTACTGGAGATTGAACCCAGTACTTGTATCACCAAGCTACATCCCTAGACTGTTTTATTTTGAGACAAGGTCTCATTAAGTTGTTGAGGCTGACCTTGAACTTGCAATACTCCTGCTTCAGCCTCCCAAGTAGCTGGGATCACAGGAGTGAATCACCATGCCTGACTATCTCTTGCATTTTAAAAGTGAACAACTGTATTGTTTGCAAATAACTTATAGCCTATATTAGCTCCTGGGTGGAATCCAAGCATTAAGCTGTCATAAGGTAAACTTATATATTATTGGTGCAATATAATAATACATTATAATTTGTTCCTTAAAACTCATCTAACCCTGTGAAAATATCAAATTGACAGTGAAAATAAGGAAAAGGAAAATCCAAATATATTAATTTTAAAATCCTTATTAACTATGTAAAGCCAAATACTTAATAGAAATTCTGCATCATAAGATGTCTTAAAATACACACCTATTGTGAATATATGAAAAAAACATTGAATTTTGCACTTTAAAGAGATAATTATATGGTTTGCAAACTATATCTCAACTTAGAAAAAAAGTCCTAAAGTTAGAATGAGATGTGATACATTTTTTTCTGCTAAAAAAAAGAAAGTGAAAAGATAATCCATGGAATGGGTGTTAGGTTATGGATCAAATTTTTTTTTCATACCTGTAATCCCAGTGGACTGATGTACAGTGCATGGTACTTGTCCACATTCTCCTTGTTAGGAATTTTAATCTTGGGGATTGTTGGAGGTTGCAGGTTGTTGCAAGAAGGAGTGGTTACATCCTTTTTTATCCCATTCCATGGATTATCTTTTCACTTTCTTTTTTAAATTTTTTTAGAGTTGTAGATGGACAGAATACCTTTATTTTATTTGTTTATCTTTATGTGGTGCTGAGAATTGAACCCAGTGCCTCACACATGGTAGGCAAGTGCTCTACCACTGAGCCCCAGCCCCAGCCCCAGCCCTATCTTTTCACTTTCTTAACAGTGTGCTTTGAAGTTCAAAGTGTCTCATTTTAGTGGAGCCAAACTTATCTATTTTTTTTTCTTTTGTTGCTGTGCTTTTGGTGTCATATCTAAGAAACATTGCCTACTCAAGATCATGATATTTTATACCCATGTTTTCTTCCAAGAGTTTAATAGTTGTATCTTTCTCTTTAGGTATGGGATCCATTTTGAGTTAATATTTACATATGGTGTTAGGTTATGGCTCAACCTCAATTTCTTTCTCATGTGGATATCCAGTTATCCCAGCATCATCGATTAAAAAGATTATTCTTGCCCCCATCAGATTGTCTTGGCTCCCTTGGTGAAAATTAATTGACCATAAATGTATGGGTTTGTTTCTGTATTCTTGATTCCATTCTATTCATATAAAAAATTTGGGGTGGGGGGGTACTGGGGATTGAACTCAGAGGCACTTGAGGTCACTTGAACTTACACAGGACACTGATGTACAGTGCATGGTACTTGTCCATATTCTCCTTGTTAGGAATTTTTTGGGGATTGTTGGAGGTTGCAGGTTGTTGCAAGAAGGAGTGGTTACATCCTAGCCCTATTTTGTATTTTATTTAGAGACAGGGTCTCACTGAATTGCTCAGAGCCTCACTTTTGCTGAGGCAAGCTTTGAACTCATGATCCTCCTGCCTCAGCCTCCTGAGCCACTGGGAAGGATTACAGGTATGAGCCACCGAGTCCGGCATTAATAGTATTTTAATGAAGAATTTTCCCTGGGAAAACCATGAGTAGAATCATGCCATTTTTGCCCTCGTTTATGACTAAATTTGGTGGAGCCCTGTAGAATCTCACTTAGGAATGAGAAGCAGAAAAAATGGTTGTCTAGGAAATCAGGAATGGGATCTGTAGTGACTCATGGAGAGAACTTAGGTTTGGAATTAGTAAGACCTGGATTTGAATGCTAGTTCTATCCAAAATTGTATGGCTTTGTGTAAGTTTCTTAACTTCTAGGAACTTCAGCTACTATGAAATGGGGATGATGGCAATGTCAATCTCAGAGGGCATTAGCATTAAGAGACAAAAGTTGTGAAAGTGATGACACTGTCCCTGGTCCATAACAGTAGGTATTTGACATCAAGCAAATTTATAGCTGATTCATGGTCTTGTGGATCCCTCCCATCTGACTCAGAGTGGTTGTATGGGGTTAGGAAACGTGGGCTATTCCATGGTAACCTGTGCCAGTTCCTGTGTTTCTGCTTCTGTCTCGTACACTTATAGCAGCTATAGTTCCATTCCCTCACCTCTTCTGTCAGGCGTGGTGTAAAGGGTGGATGATAAAGAAGAAAGAAATAGCTTTCTACACACCAACTTTCTGGTCAGAAGAATAAATTTTAAGTTTGACGGATGCCCAGTAGTGAACTACAGTGTAATTAGGAAATAGTTGTATACTGTTTTATATATCTAGAACTTTATTTTTATAGAAGAAACACGTAGTTGCATGGTGGATCTGGAACTCTGTCATAGGTGAGGGAATCCTGTCTGCGTGAGCCACAGTTCAGGCCCCTTGTTTACCTTGTGGCAGTCCCCAAATTGTAAGGAAAGAACCTGAGATGAAACAAGCTACCCTTCTTCTACACAAAGCTTCTAATCTTAACCCTAAATAGTAATGGTATTGCTAAGGTTTAGGAGGACAGGGCACAGTGTTTGTTGGCTTCTCATTACTTCAATTAGTTGGTTAGAGTGACTCACAAGACCTCTAAACAGGGTTGTTGCCCTAAAACTGTTTCCTTTCTCCATACTTGACTCTGTCACTTGGGAGCGGATACCATTTCTGGAACCCAGACTCAATAAGTACTTTTGGCTTGGTTGTCATCACTTCATATCCTTAAGATCCAGCTCCTCTCCACATTCTTCCTTTATTATTTTCTCTATTTGGATCCTTTGTGACTTTGTGGGTTTAGTAACAGGGAATCTGGCTCTTGTTATATGATTGTCAACTCCTGGGTCTCAGGAAGGCCATATTCAACTTTGTGTTGGTCAAACAATTTGCGCAGGGCACTGATGTAGAGTGCATGGTACTCGTCCACAGTCTCCTTGTTGGGCATTTTAATCTTGGGAATTGGCAGGGGTTCCCCAACTGTGGAGAAGGAGAAGAGAGAAGCATCAGAGTCCCCACCCCAAGTCACACTACCCTTCCCTCACTGGGGCCACATACTGACAGTATCTGGGCCCTTCCCCTTCCTTCATGCTTTTTTATTGTTGTTGATCTTTCTTTCTTTCTTACTTCCACCCTCCCTTCCTTCCTTCTCTCTCTCTCTCTCTCTCTCTCTCTCTCTCTCTCTCTCTCTCTCTCTCGGGATTGAGCCCAGGGATGCTTTATCACTGAGCTATATCCCCAGCCCCCCCCCCTTTTTTAAATGTTACTGCTAAATTGCTGAGGCTGTCATTTAACTTGTAGTACTCCTGCCTCAGCCTCCTGAGCTGCTGGGAGTGCAGGCATGCACCACCGCACCCTGTACTGTCTTCATTTTCCACCCCCCTACCCCTGCTCCAGCTCTATATTGGCCCTCATGCTCTGGTCACCTAATATCAACCATATTGCAGAGAACCAGAGTAAGCACAGGAGGGAGCTGAAGGAGTGTGTATGAATAATGATGTACTCATGACAGCTGTTGAACTCTCTCACCTGGGAATGGCCACAACTGTTATCTGCTTAATTGTCTTCCCCACCCTACTCTAAACCACACCTACTAGAATTCCTTTTGTCCCATCCTAGCTGTTAGTCACATCTCCTAGGACTTGATGACTTGAGGTGGGGGGATCAAGGACCCACTCTGCCCAGGGAATGTGGAAAGCTCACCAACAGTGTTAATGGGCCGATTGAAAGGCAATAAGCCCCAGGATCCATGAGTGAGGCCCCGGCCATGGAAGGTACACAAATTTATTCCCAGGGCTTTTTTTAATGCTCCCTGGATGATTTTTTGAAAGAACCTTAACCATGTGCCTTCAGGGAACGTCTCCTGATTGTGAACTTCATTCTCACCGAAGGAATAGGAAGGGACAAGGTATGCCCTGCAAAGAGAAGGGCAGGGTATGAAATCCCTGAGGAAGCAAAACCTCCCCAAGCAAAATCTCCCCCAGGAAAAACTCCATCCAAGATCAGAAATTTCTCCAACCTCCTCATTATAGGTCAAAAATTTAAGCATTCAAGTATTCCTGCCAGGTCCCACCCTCCCAAACGAACTGTGACAGAATGAAACTAATCTGGGACACCTAACTGCCTACAGTGAATCCAGCATCCAGAATGATCTTCCTAAATTGCATATGTGGACATGTCACTGCTCTCACTGAAACTCTTCCAGAACTCCTCACTGTGTACTGTAGGGCTTAGCATGGCCTTTGTGCTCCAGCTCTCCCTACTTGGCTAGCTGCCCCTTTCCCTGCTCCTTCCTTGAGCCCTGTTTAGCCATACTAAGTGTGCAAAGTTCTCTCTCATCTATGTGTTCATGCTGCTCCCTCTGTCTTCTTGTGGCAAATTCCACTTTGCCTTTCAATTCTCAGTTCTGATATTGTCCCCTAGAAGAAATTTTCTTTAGCTACCTCCAATACCCCACTCCCTACAGTGGCTTTGGTGCCCCTCATCTACTGCTGACCTGTCTCTTGTCCTCTCACTCCCTAGCCCTGCGTTACAGTCATCTTCTTTCCTGTCTGACTTCCCCAGGAGATGACTGTAACGCAGGGCTAGGGAGTGAGAATAGTATCATATTCACCTTTGAATCCCAAAGGCCTAACATGGTACCTGATATTTCATATATCTTCATGGAATGCTTGAATTCTTTCTCCCTTTTCATCTGACTGGAAACTCCTACTATTTAAATTCACAGTTCAGATGTCACTGAACTATGAAACCTCTACTCTGGTTTAAGGTCTTTCCATGGAATTGACGCTTCCATAGCAATTAGTATGCATCTCCCTTATGCACTTGGTTCATTCAACAAATATCTCTTGAGTTCTTTCTATGTGCCAGCATTGTTCTAGGCCCTCAGAATATATCAGTGAACACACTGGATCAAAAAAAATCTCTGACCTCATGGAACTTACTTTTTTACTGGAAGAGGAGGAAGATAAACACTAAAATAGCAGGTAAATAAAATAGATGATATATAAGAAGATGATAAATACAATGGGAAAACAGTAAAGCAGGAGAGTCAGGATAGAGCCATTTGAAAAGAGATGTTTCAGCAAAGGCTTGAAGGATGTACAGGAATGGACCAAGCAGCCATGTGGAGGAATAATGCTCCAGGTGGAGGGGACATGAGGGCAAGACCCTAAGGCAAGAGTTTATGTACTTGGGGAACAGCAAGGAGGCCAGTGGAGTTGTGAAGGCACAAACAAGGAAAAGAAGTAATGGGTGATGGGGTCAGGAAGGAGAGGTGGCTGAGGACTAGATGAGACTTAGCGTCTTCTAGGCCCTTTTGAGGATTTTGGCTTTTGTTCCAAATAGCATGGGAGCCACTGGAGCATTTTGAGTGTGAGATGATCTGACTTATATTGAACAAAATTATTCTGGCTACAGTTGTAAATGGACTCTTGTAAGTAAGGGAGGGAGACAGAAGCAGGAAGAGTAGATAGAAGTATTGTATGATGGTAATTTAAACTAGGTGGTTGTGTGAGGCGGTAAATGATTGATTCTGATTACATTTTGTAATGATACGTGTATGGGTCTGTCTTCCACAATGGACTGTGGGTTTGTGAGGACCAGGTCTTATTTATTTCTAGAGCCTCAGTGCCTAGTCCTATGCCCTACAAATAGTAGGTATTTGATAACTGCTGAATGAGTGAAAATATATATTAAAAATATATTTTTTCAAACCAGATTAGATGTTCTTTGGGTTTGTGCCTTATTCATCTTGGCAATCCTCGTAGCACCAGGGCTAGTGACTTCCTTGCCCTTTGGAGGTTCTCAGGGTCTCCCAGTGAGTAGATGGATATAAAATGAAGCCCCACTTCCCTAGACACCCAGCTTATCAGGCTAATGGACAAAAGGTGCAAGGTTTCCTATAATTCTTTCACCAACTTCAAGTGAAATAATACCACTGTAATATGTCTGGAGGTTCAAACATCCACAAGGCACAGTGGTAAAGGGGTAGAAGGAAACAGAGTGAAGAAGGGCCCCCCTAACAGGTTTCCCAGAGAGGACACCATTTTGGAGAGGGCTACAGAGGTCCTGTGTCATTGTGAGAAGAGAGCCCAGAACCCAGGGACCCACCCTGTCTTCAGAGCCAATTTCACAAAACCTTTGCGATTTTTTAGCAAGATGGTGGAGGCTCCTGGGCGGCACAAGAGGGCTTCTGCAGCTCCACCCACCACAATAGTCACAGCATTTCCTGAGCCTTTCTTGGTCAGCAAGTACTCCAGGGCCAACTCACTCACTGGGCATATACCTGTGAAACCAGAGTCAAGTGGTAGAAGAAACTTGGTGCAGGGTTTTTCCAGACTCTTTCTGTTGGAGACAGTTTTGTCTCCTGCTTGTTGCTGTTCCCACCCTCTGTCTTTGGCCCCCATATCCTGGGCTAGACCTAGCCTGAGGTGGATCCTTAGGCCTACATGCTTGACTTGGGGGTCTGTGCTGATACAATTGGGACTATACTGAGTTCCTCTGCCTTCTTTCATCCAGAGTCTACTAAATTCTAAATCAACATTCTTTGAAACCCATGAACTACAGCCATCTTCCACTCTTCTCAGGCTGACAGCACTGAAGACCCTCCAGAGTTCTTTCCTCCATGGGTGATCAGGACTAGAGCCACCATCAACATGCTTCTTCCCTAAGGGAAACCTGCCAAAGGGGAGCCATTGGCTGTTGGTTTTAAAGAGTAGGCAGACCTGGGAGCCTACCTAAGCCAAATTGCAATGAACAGTGGAAGGTGGATGACACCTTGTTGTTCAATGATAGCCAGAGTCTTTCATCACTTTTGAATCCTGTCTTTGCCCTTCATTCACCTTCTACTCTCTACTGCGATGACAGAAATTGACTCCAGGATCCAGCTTTGGAGAGAGATCCCTGCACCAGGGTCATGTCAACCTCAGAGGGAAGCAGACGCGTCCCCTAGGTTTCTAGTGGTTCTACTTGTCCCCTTCAGATAAATGTATCTTACCTCTGGTGTCCAGAAGGATGAATATTCATCTAGAGAGGACATTTGTCAGGTTGCCCTGGCTTAAAGCCTGGTGTGGGGAAGTTGTCCTGGATTCTGAGGGATGGCATCTTATGCAAGGGCAGAGGTGTTCCAAGGAGATGAAGTTCATGAACCGAAAGTATACCAGCTGGTATGAGAGACTCTAAAATGTTTTTAAGCTACCCTTGGATGAGAGCTGTATGGATGACTGGCCAAAAGAAAGCAACTGACATCCCAGAAAAGAGTCTGGTGAATCATCCCTGATTTTTGTTTGTGATTCTGTTTAATACTTGGCTTTCAACTTCTACTTTCCATTTTGGCATTGATCCTGAACTCAGCCTTCTGGTTCCCTCTGTGAAAGGAATCCTGGCAAATCATATGAATGCCTGTAACTTCCCCGGTTGCCCAACCAAATCCTGCCTCCCAGATCTCAGATAGAGTCATATGCTTCACCACATACTCCTGACACTGGCCCAGTGTATTCTAGATTCAATTTTTACCAAGTTCTTTTCTATAAGGGAATGACTGCCAGTGCTTATCAGTGTTGGAGCCCTGAGATAGATTCTAAAATGGAATAATTGTACCAAAAAGAATTTCAGTTGTATGTATACATAGAAAATACTAATCAAAAGTAAATAAATGAAGGAATGTAAGGAAGATCATTAGAGGAGAAGAGGGAGAATGGGGGAGGGAGGAGGGAAAGAAAAGCAGGGGGAATGGGGATTTAAATCAAATCCCTTGCATATGTTATTTTGCCAAAATGAACCCAAGTGCTATGTATAATTTTAATGCTCAAATAAAAAATAAGCAAAATTTAAAAGTTGAATAATTTATTATACTCACCCATTGACATTACATATTCTCGCACAATTGGGATCCAGAAGATCCCTTCCAAGGTCCCTAAAAAGGGAGTGATGGATGGGAAAATCCGAGCAAAACCACTGGCCTCAGTGGCAAAGTTGATGAAGACACCATAAGAGAAAATTCCATGGGGGTGGCTGCCAATGATGTAGTTGTGTTTGGGAGAAAGGTCATGTGTCTTCACCAGCTGTTAGAGGGATATTGAGTCAGAGCATTGGCTAGACAGAAGAAAGAGGGGATGGGTAGACTCAGACCCCAATGGGTAGCCTATGTTTCCTTCTAGGAGCCTCAAATCCTTGCTCCTTGGGATGCCATCATTGACATAGGCTTGCCAGGTGTCATAGTGGTCAAAGAGGCTAACCTGGGTTTTCCACTATTCATCTGTTCCCCCACCTGCCCATCCATCTTGGGTCTCTGCTCTGCAGTATACCTCTGGGCCTTGACCTTCACTGATGGCCACCAGCACTCTTGAATAAATGGAACTGGATAGGGGGTCAGAGTCTGGGCAAAAAGGATCAAGGGCATCCAGAAGAAAGATAGTCACCTTTACTGGGAAGTAATTTTGGAAATACATCCAGAGGGTCCAGTTTCGTACCCAAGCTGAACGCCTACCACCTGTGGATAGAAAAGGGAAGGGAAGAGCAGTTGGAGACTTGCCAGTCCCTTTACCTCTCCCACAGGTGAAGAGTTCTGCTGGAAGTACTCATGCCCTTAAAGGGGTCTCCTTTCCACACCTTAAAGCTCTAAGTACCATCCCTAACCCAACTCCCAAGACAGGAAGACCCTGTTCCTCTGGAGCCATCCAAAAAGTTTTTGGGACAACATCTCAAGGCTGGGGGGCACCTTCTCAGAAACTCCTACCTCTTAATTCTTTCTGGGCAGCCTGGCAAAGCCCTCTGTCCCCTTCCCTCCCCACTTTATTCCCCCCCCCCTTCATCCACTTCCTTCACCCTGCGGTTTTATCTGTGTTACAGACAGGACCACCATTCTGCCCCCATCACTTACCTTGACTGTGAGTATTCCAATCATAAGCAAGCCAGGCTAAGGCGAGCACAGCCAAGTACCAGAATCTAGTGAACACCATGAAGTAGGGTATACTGATAATGGAAATAGATCCTGAGGAGACACATGGGATCATGCCCTTCAGTTTCTTTCCAGTTTCAGCACACCTCCCATAACTCCCATCTCCACTCCACACCAAAGGAGCAGCACAAAGTCAGAGTGGCCTCTTCTCTCCTTCTCCCCTTGTACCCTTGCCTAGCTCTTCTGTGGTCCAGGAAGACCTCTGAATTATTGGATCTGGAGCTCTCAATGGCTGAGATTTTAACAGCAGAACCATGAAGTGCTCAGAGCAGACCTTCATCAGGGGTCCAAGGACAGCAGTACTTCTTAGAAAATAGAACATCATGTTGGACTGGTGGCTGATTATTCCCATTCTGGAACCTCAGGAAATTCTTTCTAAAATTTTGACCCTCCTTTCTTTTCTGAACCGCTAAGTCTGCGCATTCCAGAGCTTGCCTGCAGTATACAGGCTATTTGATTCTGAGAAAAAAAAATGCAGAATAGAAATTGCCTGACCATGTTCTGTTTTTTCCCTTTCACAATGTTATGAAAGTTCAAAGGGGGAAAAATTTATCTCTGTTAGCAAAGGAACACAGCAAGCTGTGAAATGCAAACATAATGCTTCTTACAGTTCTGGGAAATGAATGCCATTTTATTTTTATGTAGTTTTTGCCATGTTGGGGATTGAACTCAGGTCCTTGTGCATTGCATCTGATACAAGTGCTCTACCACTGAGTTACATTCCATTTTTAAATTTGCATTCATGGAAAAGATGGGCTAAATACACATATTGTGAATTAAAAAAAAAAAAGACCTAGCTAAGGGAATGACATCTTTAACAAGCTGCCACATCATGGTAGATGAAATTTTCAGAGAAACAAAAGAAACTCAAGTTACCAACAGGCTTGTCTCTTGCATTTGAGACATAAATGAAAATAACAGTAAAAAGACACAGTGGGCATTTCTTTAAAAACTCAGGTTATGAACAGGGCATGGTGGTGCCCATCTATATTCCCAGCAATTTTGGAGGCTGAGGCAGAAACAACATAAGTTTGAGGCCAGCCTTGGCAATTTAGCCAGACTCTGTCTCAATAATAATAATAAGGCTAGGGGTATAGATCAGTAGGAGAGCACTTGCCTACCATGTGCTAGGCTCTGGGTTCCATCCAGTATTGCAAAAAATCAAAAACAAAAATTTCTAATTAAAGGTGGTCTAAGTGTATCTTGCTTTGAATGAATTTTGTTGAAATCTTCAGTATTTACAATAGTGCCTGGCACACAGTAGGTCAACAAATATCTAGACTGGCTGAAAATAAATAAATAAATAGATAAATAAATATTTCCTCTTTAAAGTCAACTTAAGTGATTAATGTTTAGTTAGCATGTGCAATGCTATTTAAATATGACATTATTTTAAAAGTGTAGCCAGATTGTGTGCCTTCTTTCATATTTGGTTTATCTACCAGTCCTAAGGTAGCCTAGGTGCCCTTACCTGGATAAACACCATCTTGTGGAATTTATTGGAACTGCAGGTGTGGCTCTGCAGGAAACCAGAAGTGCAATCTGAGAACAAGCCTTCCAGATCCAGCCTGTTTGAATATCATCAGTGTAACGCGGGGTGACAAAAGTGGGATTGTAGGATATCATGAAGATAAAGGGAAGATCGTTAATGTAGAAGAAGGAGACTGAGAGGCAGAGTAGAGGGATGGGTTAGGGGAGGCAATGCAGAATGAATTCTTTAAAAAATGTTATCTGCATATATAAATATACCACAGGGAACCTCACCTTTATGCATTAGTAAAAAGAACCAATTAAATATAACTAAATAGCTAGGTGTGGTGGTGCATGTCTGTAATCCCAGTTACTCGGGAGGCTGAGGCAGGAGAATTGCAAGTTCAAGGCCAGCCTCTGCAGCTTAGGGAAACCCTAAGCAAGTTAGCAAGACCCTGTTTCAAAATAAAAAATAAAAAGGACTGGGGATGTGGCTCAGTGGTTAAGAGGAGGGAAAGGAAGTCTAGTAGAGTAGAGCTTCAAAATAGAATGGAGAGGGGAGGGAGAACCTGAGGAAAAGGGGAAGATCATGAACTGAAATTGAATTCCATGCATGTATGACTTTGTCAGGAGGAACCCAACTACTGTGTACAACTATAAAGCTCTAATAAAAGATAAATAAGTAAAAATAAAGAGAATAAACAGAGGCCCAAAGTAGAAAAGCTAAAGATCACAAAACAAGGAATTTCATGACATAAAGCAAAGGCATCTGAGGAAGGAATGATGAAAAATAAGCACTTGTGTGTATGTGTGTGTAACACTCCCTTAGGCATGACATTGAGACCAGGAGACAGTTCCAACACCTTGTTCACAGTCAAGTGAATGAATGTGAAGAGGATTATCAAGAATGAATTTCAGGGCTGGGGATGTGGCTCAAGCGGTAGCACGCCCGTCTGGCATGTGTGCGGCCCGGGTTCGATCCTCAGCACCACATACCAACAAAGATGTTGTGTCTGCCAATAACTAAAAAAATAAATAAATAAATATGTTTAAAAAAAAATTACAGTGCTGGGGATTGATCCAGAGCCTCAGGCATTCTAGGCAAATACTCTATCACTGAGCCACATCCCTAGCCCCACAGGTTTCTAATTTAGTTTGTACTGAGGCCGACCAAGCCATTCTAAAACATGTGCAGTTGTAGCTCATCATCATTCTAATTTGCATTTCCCTGATTGCTGATGATGCTTACCAGCTTTTCCTTTGCTTATCTGCCTTCTGTGTTTCCTCTTTAGTGAAACTTCTGTTCAAATCTTTTGCCCATTTTTCAATTGGGTTATTTGTTTTTTTACTATTGACTTTGGGAGGTGCTTATACATTTTAAATACAAATCTTTGTTCTGGGATGCGATTTGCAAATATTTTCACCCAGTCCTTGTCTATCTTTTATTTCTCTTAATGGGGGGTTCTCTTTCTTAGTGTGAAACCTTTTGATTTTGATGAATTTATTTTTTCTTTTGTAAGTTGTGCTTGTGTATGTGTGTGCATGTGTGTGCGTGCATGTGTGTGTGTGTATGTGTGAGTGTGTGCGTGGTACTGAGAACTGAATCCAAGACTATTCTACCACTGAGCTGCATCCCCAGCCCTTTTATTTTTTTTTTTTTTTGAGACAGGGTCTTATTAAGTTGCTGAGGGTAGCCAGAACATATGATCCTCCTGCCTCAGCCTCCTTCCTGGGATTATAGGGGTACACCAACATGCCCAGCTTTGGTGAATATTTTTGATGTGCTATTTGATTTGGTTCCCTCATATTTTGTTGAGAATTTTTGCTTCTTCTATTTTCTCATTAGGGATATGGACCTAGAATTTTATTTTATTGTAGTTTTCTTGCCTGCCTTTGATATCAGGGTAATGCTGGCCTTGTAAAATGAGTTTGGAAGTGTTCCCTCCTCTTTAGTTTTTTTGGAAGCATTTAAGAAATGTTGAGTGTCAGATACTGTGGCACACACTTGTAATCCCAGCTACTTGAAAGGCTGAATCAGGAGGATCTCAAGTTTGAGGCCAATCTTAGTAAGATCCTGTCTGCAAATTAAAAAATAAATAAAAAAGGGCTCGGGATGTAGCTTAATGGTAGAGCACCCTTGGGTTCAGTCCCCAGTATTACAAAAAAATGTTGATATTAATTCTTCTTTGAATGTTTGGTAGAATTCAGTCATGAAGCCATCTGGTTCTGGGCTTTAACTTGTTGGGAGATTTTTGATTATTGACACAATCTCCTTACTCATTATTGGTCTGTTCAGATTTTCTAATTCTTCATGATTCATTCTTGATAGGTCATATGTATCTAGGAATGTATCCATTTCTTCTAGGTTGTCCAATTTACTAGCATGTGATCATTCATACTAGTCTTATGATCCTCTGTATTTCTGTGGTATCAGTAGTCATGTATCCTCTTTCATGTTTTATTTTATTTGATATTATCTCTCTTTTTCTTGGTTAGTATAATTAAAGGTTTGTCAAGGATTGGGGTTGTAACACAGTGATAGAGTACTTGTCTTGCATATGTGAGGCACTGGGTTAGATCCTCAGCACCACATAAAAATAAATAAAGATATTGTGGTCCATCTAAAATTAAGAAAAAAATTTAAAAAAGACTTGTCAGTGTTATCTTTTCAAAAAGCTAACTCTTGAATTTGTTGATCTTTTCTATTATTTTTTTCTAGTCTCTATTTCATTTATTTATACTCTAATCCTTATTATTTCCTTCCTTTTGCTAACTTTGGACTTAGTTTATTGTTTTTATAGCTTTTTGAACTAAAAATTAGTGTTTGAGATCTTTCTTTTTTCTTTATGTGTTTATTGACATAAATGTTTTTATTGTATTTATTCAGAAGTATTTCACTCTGATGATATTAAAGGGGTACTGTGTTTTAAATTTCTACTTTCAGTTGTTCCCCTATTTTGATGCTGTTCCTTTATTTTGAATACTCTCTCCCTAACTTTCTGCTTATCAAAATTTCCTCCGCTTTCTAGACTTAGCTTAAAGTATACTAACTTGGTGATATCTTTGCTAATCCCCTGGATAGAATTAAAGCTATCCTCCTCTGCATCCTTCTAACATGCTGTGTTCCTGTTTGTCCCTGTTCCACTTAGTCTGCTTGTGTAACTAGTACCTCATATGTCTGGCCCTTTCCCTGTTATACATAACTTTGAAAGTAGTCATTAGCCTGGGGCCAAGCACAGGCAGATGACTCATGATATGTATTTGTTACATTGAATTGTAGTACAGGGAGAAGTTCAATTTCAAAATTATCCAAGTGGCAGGTGAAAGTTAATAGGAAGAGAAACCACAAGTGCCCTTCTTCCAAATAAGGAAATGCCATCAGAGGTGTGTGTGTGTGTGTGTGTGTGTGTGTGTGTAAGGCCATGGGTAACCAGTTATTTCCAGTATAAGCTGGAAATGAAGGGTGAAAACATTATGTTTCAGGGTAATGAATGAAGTCTAAGTTTTGGCAACACCTGTCAAATGGAGCCAGTTGGCCCAACGCTTGCAGAAATCCAAGAATG